TCCCTACAGAAACCATCTTTTCTCCTAAACTGAAGAGTTCCTTCACATCAACCTCTCACCTTCTCCTCTCACCCCTCCAAAAAAATCCAAAGGTGAAATGATTAAAATAGAAGAGAGCTCCAGAAGTCTGCAGAACCGGGCAGAAGAAGGAGAAAGGAGCAGAGGAAAGAATTATTTCCCTGCTAAAGGTATCTGTCTATTTTTATTTTTTTATTTATTTTTAATGTAAGCATCCTTTCCCTTTCCTGCTGTTAAGGTCATAAGTATTTCCCAGGCACATTGCATAATGCACTCAAACGCTACTACAGGCTTGGTGCTAAGTGGCATCCCCTTTGACTGAAGAGCAAGAGGGGGTTTGCAATATCCTTAATGAGGATGTGCAGCTTTGAAGACCTCACTAATGTTAAAAGGAGGGATTTCCAGATGCAAGACTAATGTAAAATGCATTAACACTAATGGGGGACAGGGGGGAAAACTCCCAGCCCTTTTAGCCCCCAGAGGTTGTTCAGATGGTGTTTGGCATTTTCAGAGCCATAAGATGCTATTTGGCTCTGGACGGAAGAAGAAACGCTCCGCTGAAGTTTACCTGTGGACCAGGACCCATGGGGCCCATCCCTCGTGGAGGATTCATCCTTTGCATGGGTCCGCCCATGTTAGGGTGCCCTGTTGGGAGGAAAGCAGGCACGTTATACGGGAGAACAGCGCCTTCGGACCCCAAATCAACAGCTAGCGGGAAAGGGGGAAACATTCAAACCTCCTCGGTTGGATTTACCTTGCTGTCGCGTGGGATCCATTGAATTGGGCAGCAATGGCTGTGTACCAGGAACGGCCCCCGGAGGCTACACGTTAAAAGAAGGGGAGGAAGATAAAAGCAAAAAAGAAACCAACCCAGAACAAAACAAAAGAAAAACAAGAACCCCCCGCAAAACCTGGCCAATACGCAGTCTACACACACAGATCCAGTTCAAGGCTTTACACCTGCCACGGGTGCTCGGGTTATTCGGTGTGCTCCCCGCGATACAACACCCTTCGTGTCACAACACGACTCGCGGCCGCCCGGAAGAGCCCCTACCTGCCTCCCTCGGGATCGCTGCCACCCCGGACGGGTTGCTACAGACACCTGGAATTTGCCTACCTTTGCTTTGATAGCTCTCCCGCTTTCTTTTGCAAACAGCCTTTAGAAAACCCAAGCAAGGTCCCACCATTTCCTCCTTCCCCTTCAGCCTGCAAGCGGTCAGACTGCAACCTCCTCTTTATTTCTGGAGCGTGGGGCAGGTGGGGGGAAACCCAGGCTGAGCCGGGCAGAGGCGTCAAAGCCGGCAGTGAAAGGAGACTGGCAGCGCCGTTCCAAGGTATTTACAGAGCACCGTGACCAAATCATATATGTTAAAGTGTGTTATTTGCTAATGAAGGGGAGACACTTCAGCTGCAGCAGATCAGCTCTCACAGTCTTCCCGACACACTCAGGGCGTTTACTCCTGTATTTTTAGCTCCGGCTGCTCCCCCCTCCCCAAATCCACGCTCCGCTTGGGCAACGTGGCTATTTAAAGTTCAAAGGCTGCCTTCCCCGCGCTGCTCTGCACAGATAAAGGGGGAGAAAACACAGATACCATCTGCCTTGGGGAAGCAAACGGTAAACAATTTTGAAACAGCGTTGCCTTTTATTTGAATACCAACATGAAATATATCCCACTGTTTGAACAAAGTATAGCTACAGGCTGGGTGCATATAGCCAGGCCAAGCCAAAATTTGTCCAATCCACACCATGGGAGGACAGACTTCAATCCCAGTTTTTTTGCAGCTTGGAAGATGGGAGGCAAGAGGAGGATAAAAATACGGTGTTGAACCGATGGATATTTATGCTTTTGCTCCTTAACTTTACTTATTCTTTCTGTCCCTCTGGATGCGACCAGAATCTCACCACGTTCTGCCTATGGACAAATCTGGGCTTTTGTATGCGGTGTTTCAGGAGAAAATCCTTCTACTTAACTTTACTGGGAAAAATAAAACTTAGGAGGCCGGGAGTTCCCAAACTACCCCGCTAAGCAAATCCTTCCCAAATCCCTGCCCACAAGCAGGCTGGGGGCGTCTTCGCAACGCAAGGCGGACTGCGTCTCCGTCCCATTAGCCAGAAGTTCAGGCAGGACCTAAGGAAAGAAGCACGCAGCACCCCGGCAGCTCCTCTTCCCTCCCAGGCCTCCGGGCGCACCGCAGCGAGAAGCCGAGGGACCCGGGAGGCCCAGCTTAACGGGAGCTCGGGGAAGAGCACTGTGGAAGCCCACCGCGCGCTCGGCATTTTGCTTGCACAAAATCAAGTTGCTCTGATGTGGCTCAACTTGCCTGTTTGGCTTTTGTTCTCGGTTCGTCCCCTGACTCTCTGCCCCGGGATCGGGCTGGCGTTGTTTGTTAGTGCCGCGCGACCAGGTCATTTTGAAAACTCCCTATTTTAAATAACGTCTCTGGCTTGAACATGACTCAGTGTCTCTTTAGAGCTATAAACAGCAGTATCAATGGCAAAGGCAACCCAAACGGAGCAGGGCAAGCAGCGATCTAAACCCACTGGCTTTTCATACCTTGGTTAGTGCCCACTCCCTCAAGCCGCTCAATCTGGTTAGAGCAGCTTGCATCTAAGGCAGCTTTCTAAGGAAAGACGTGAAGGCGTTTGCCCGACTCCCCGCTGCAGCCGCAGTTTGCGGGCGGCAGGACGGCGGCGT